TTCTTAAAATTCTTAATATATATATATATAATGAAACATTTGAATTTATTAAGGATATTTTTATATATTATGAATCATGATAAATTAATTTTTTTTATATTTATATGTAAATTTTGAAAAATAAATTGAATAAAAAATCTACAAAATCTTTCTCTACTTCAGCAAATAAAATTTTGTGGTTTTTTTTTAAATTATTTTGATTTTTACAAAAATAATTTAAAATATTTAAGCTAATATTTAGTGGGGCAAAAAAGAGTAAGTTAATTAAGAGAAGAAAAAAAAGAAGTGAAAAGAAGGTAAGAAAAAGAGTGCAAAATAATCTCCACTATACAGAATGATAACAATATATTTATACAAACTCATCTTTCAAACTATATCATTTGTGGTAATTAATGTGCTTGTCGCTATTCTCTCTCTAGAAGATTACAATTATTTATGTGTCTTTCTTAAAATGTTTTTAACGAGTATTTCACAAAATTTTGGCTCTTCTATTCAAAGAAGATAATAAGCACTTTGCACGTATTAAGATAATCTTACTAAACTTTTTTGACTTCGAGCCGTATTAAGTGACTAGCTAGTAGCTACAACCAATTGCCTTTCATTAATTAATTTTAGCAAAAGTCATTTTGATCTAAGGAAACTTATTAACTTGAGCATGTGTAAACTAATATAACTTAATCAATAGTTATAAATTCAAATACCAGCCTATGAGTGTATGTATATGATATACAAAAAGAAAGTATATATTTAAATTTTGATTTCGTTATATAAATTAGTTATTTTGTTATATTTGATTACTAACTTTGTTACTCTTAATATCAATCTACACTTAATTGTTCACATATATTCTCTTCTCAAGTTGACAAATAATAGTTACAAATTAAAAATATTTAGACAAAATAAGGTTTAATTTTTAATTTAATTTTAAAATAGTTGAAGTAACATTTAAATGATTTATTTCCCACTCATTCCTATTACCATTAAATTTTTCCCCACTTTTATGAGAGAAGTTTTGTGATTCATTAAATATAACAAAAGCATCCATACTCAATTAATGTATCCTTAATTTAGATCTTTCAGAATGATCACTCATCTTACTAAACCTCAAATTCAATAATTTAGGTTTACAATCCTAAACCTCTAGACACAATAGATAAAGAAATTAAAAATGGTTGAGACGGAAAAATCCAATTACAAGAATCTCTACAATATATAATAATAACCTATCATTTTAACCAAAACACTCATAGTCAGAATATTAAACATGACAAAGTGTTCATTGTTTATTAAAAAGTACTAAAACCTTGCATTATGGCACATATTAAGTAATTAGGAGAGAGAACAACCAATTGGGATGGAGAATAGGTGACAACTTTGCACTTAATTACTTACTATCCAAGAAACTAACATATATAGTTAGTAACCGAGCATAATAAAGAAAACTAACTTGTATATCAAAATTAAAATATAGGAGTCTAGATGTCACAAAAAATTATTTAGAGATCTATCAACCGTCCATATTTCGGGGAAAAATTGAATATTTACTCTATTAATATGGGTAAATCTTATATACTTTTTTATGAATTTTATTATAAGGCACACTATTTAATTAGAAAAAATTGATAGTCTTTTTTATAAGAAAAGTTACAATTTCTATAAAATATTAAAATTTTTTATTTTTTATTTTTTGTTCCTATTAAAGATTGTGAGAATACATATATTTTATCTACTATATATATATATAAAATGTCATATAGTGATATACACGATATAGTAACATAATATTTATCAATATAAATCACTTTTATCTATAATATAGATAGAATATATGTTGATATATTATTAAAAAGTGTAGGTATAGACTATAATAACATATAATATATGTTGTTGAATCTCGTTCAAAATTAATACTAAAATTATATATAATTATAAGTTAAATAAATTTATACTTATAAATATTGTGTCTATAGTGACGATATTTTTTTGTAATTCATTGTATATAATATTTCTTGTAATATTCTTAGCTCTTAAACTCCCCAATTTTCATTTATGTAGTAATATTTTTATTGAAATTGGTACATAAACTTTTATATAGAATAATAAGTTGACCTCTCATAAAAATTTAATATAATAAATATAAAGGATAAAGTTGATAAATTATAATTTTGTTATATGAATCTAATAAAATTAATTAACATAATTATTTATACTGTTCCATATAAGGATATGCATATTTATTATTAGAGAGTGGGCCAGTTTTCCCCACTATTTTTTTTTTGTCATTTATAAATACAGTATATTAGTAATTATGTATAAATAATTTGAAATTGGTAAAAATAACAATTTATATTATAAACACTTCCTTGAATTTGATTATTTTTATTACCTTAATTAATATATTATAATATTATTTTTTAATATGAATTTTATACATTATTTTTGTAATTAAAAAATTCTCTCTCGGTTATATCAAATTACATTATTTTTATCTTTATGAAAATAAATAAACTATTTAATTGTCTAACTTACCTGTTTAATATATATATATATATATATATATATATATATATATATTAATTGAATTTTATTATATATTTAAGAAATTAACAATAATGAAAAGAGAAAAAAATTATGTATTGTCAATTTAAAATATTTTTACAATATCATGTAAACACAAAATATCATATATGATATATTTGTTGACTTTTACAATTATTACTTTAAATATCACATCTGGTGATAATTTTTTTTTGTTGATTTACAATGTAAAACTTTTACATTGATAATGTATAATCACTAAATTCTAATTTAAAATAATCTTATATTAAAACTTAAACTATTGATTATAAATTCAAATTTTATTTTATGTATTTAAAGCTTAAATTTATTTTAATTTTGTTTGTGGGAATTTTCGTTTGTAGGTTCTTTTTATTCGAACTAGCATGATTTCAATTTAGGTGTGTGACATGACAGGTTCGACGAGTTTTCAGTGGTAAATCAGACAAGCAACAAATAGAGTTAATTGATTAGAGTATTTTTTTTAGCATAATAGAATATTTATGTTAGTCATACAATCAATTTCATGCACGTGAATGTTGATGAGAATCGAATAAATGACATGTATATTGACTGTAGAAATCATATCCTTCATTCGATGATAACAAAATTACAATTCGTAAGGATAATGAAAAAGATTCAAAAGACTACGCTACGTTAAAAAGGAAAAAGAAATGGTGGTCGAGAAATCGTACCTAGCCTTCTCGTGCACGTGAGCCATATGCGCAGGCAAAGAGTGCGTGTGAGGTATTGTGAGCATGAGATTTCCCTTTCTACGAGCCTGGCTCGTCTATTTATAAAGATTTGGGGTGTATCTGACGTGCCCCAAATGCGTAACTGCTTTAAACCTCCACATTGTGGCTCATTTTCGGGCACAACTTCTGGAACTGCTTATCCCCTCGATTTACTTCGACCTCTCTTAACCATGTCTTCCCTAAGTTCTTCATTCTGAAAGGTTGCGAAGTATACTCATGCATTTGCGAATTCCTAGGATTTCGAGTGATCCACGAAAAGTATACTTGAGTGTTTCCTGATTCTTCTTGTACTTTGAGAGGTTGCGAAGCTATGAAGCCTTTTAATGAGTAGCAGCTTCAAGGTCCAAGGATTTCGAGTATTTCATGAAATATGTCTTCGAGTATCTCCTGATTCTCCTTGTGCTTCGTATGTCTCCACTTCAGAAACTTCTTTGTTATTTTCCGATCACCTAAGATTTCGAGAACCCCTACATTTCGAGTATTTCCAAGTTCTCTTTTTTGATGCTAACAAATTCTTATAAAATAAATAATTTTTTTAGTGTCATATTTAAAAAATATACTCCAAAATCAAAAGACAACTTTTTATTGTTCCAAATTTATGTTAAAAAAACATTTTCCTTGTAAAATATAGAGTGACAGAAAGAGATGAAGGTTGTCTTATAAAAGATTGTATGACAGCAAACGCAATACCAGCAGAAGCAGAAAAAGGTTTAGACCAGAACATAGGTTAATTCCCCCTGGAGACGGAGAATTATTTATAGTGGGGGACACGACATGTTTATGTTTCCTCCTCAGAATTATAATTACTCCTATTACGGGTCAATCTTATGTTATCATGATTAAGGCTATTCGGCTGCTACGCATTAATGTTGTTTAGGTCATCTTAGGATAAGAAGCTATTATTCACTATACACACAATAAAGAAACACCATGACCACGGTTTTATGTAGCTAG